AAGCCGGTCCGTATATATTTACTTAAATAATATTTTATTCATATTTTTTTGGTATTTAATATTTATTTTTTTCAGAAATACTATTCGGACCGAAACCGGTCCGAATATTATTGGCGCGTCTATTGTGTGGACTCCCACCAGAAATATTTTTTGGTATTTAATATTTATTTTTTTTAGAAATAAATATTCGGACCGAAAGCGGTCCGAATATTATTGGCGCGTCTATTGTGTGGACTCCCGCCAAAAATATTTTTTGGTATTTAATATTTATTTTTTTCAGAAATAAATATTCGAACCGAAAGCGGTCCGAATATTATTGGCGCGTCTATACTGTTGACTCCCACCAGAAATATTTTTTGGTATTTAATATTTATTTTTTTCAGAAATAATATTCGGACCGAAAACGGTCTGAATATTATTGGCACGTCTATAGTGTGTCTCCCGCCAGAAATATACGGACCGATACCGGTCCAAATATGTTCATTAGTATATTTTCCCCCACCTGAATATATTCAGACCGATATTGGTTCGAATATTTATTTTTTCAGACCGACACTATTCGGTCCGTATATTATCGGTCTGTATACGTCATTTTTCTAGTAGTGGTATGAGAATTGAGAATGGGTGCTGCTTGTGATGTAGATATGATGAAACTTGTGAGCACTTGTTTTTTTATTGTAGTTTTGCTAAAGAAGTGTGGAGGTTAGTCTTGGACTTCTTGAATATTCATAGACAACCAAAAAGGTGGAGTGTTGAATGGCTATGGTTAAAGAAGGCATGTAAAGGTCGATCGGCGCAGTCAAACAAGTTGAAGGCTACGGTAGTTGCCACTATATATATGATTTGGCAGGAAAGAAATAGGAGAGTAACTCTTAGTAAGTTTTTGGTTGAAAAAGATGTATATAATGAGATAGTTAATTTTTTGAGATTAAAGATCTAAAGGGTGTAATTCCCCGGGTATACCTGGGAGGAAATTGTACATGCCATTTGATGTTTAATGGAAAACTTGCCTTTTTTCAAAAAAAAAAATTCATAATCAAAAGAAAAAAGTAGATGACAAAAAAAGTAGAAAAGTAAAAAACTTGAAAATAAATAGAACCTAGGTTTAGGCCAGTGATGCCGATGAAAACGGAGTGGAACTTCTCCCTCAAAGGACCACGCATCAACAATGCTTGGATGAGCGTGTGGTGCTTCCTGTCCAACATAGCCACTTTCAATTTGATTTTGGGAAACAATAATTGAAGATTAGAAAAATAAAGGAAATTGCATAGATAGTGATGAAAAGAATTATCACCTCTTTAACATTCATATCGGCATAATCTTGGCACAACATCTCCCTCCAAGCTTTTTCTCATCACCCATTATCCACTTACTCGCCTTAATCTACATAAGCCAATGACTTTGTTGTCTCTTAAGATCTAATTGTCTAGGGGAAATGCGATTTGAGCACGATAAAAGAAGTATAGAGAATAGAAGAAAGGGGAGAGCACTAGAGGGGAGAGGAATAGGAATGGACAAGGGGGAGGAAAAAGAAAGAAACAAAAATGCTTTGTTTTGACAAAGGATTGAAATAAATGCCTTGGAGTTGCATGTTCAAACCCCATGGAACACAAATCTTTAAAATTTTTGAACCAAAAAAAGGCATTTTCATTTCGACTCATCGTGATATATTCAACTTTGACTGGATTCTGAATTTCCTCTCACATTTTAGCTTTTCAACAGTCCACAATCTGATGATCATCATTGGAATGCCCAATGATGTGCTTTGATTTGAGGATAGAGTTTGATATCTAAATTTATATGATGTTGAGGTTAGAGTTAGATGTTTAAATTTATATGATGTTAAATAATTAACTTTTCAATAGATAAGAAAAATCATTGAAATGCCTTCGGGTAAACAGCATTGTAAAACAACCGGTATGACTTTTCTAAAACAAATAAAAAAACAGCATTAGTATGGACCTCCATTAGATTTCCCCTCACGAGGCCCGCATTTTGAGGAAGTCTCTTGTTTTACTATTTTATTTTTTGGCTAAAATTTGATTTGGTCTATTAACTGTTGAATTGTTATCACTTTAGTCTATATATAAAGCCTACTTTCTGTCAAACTGGTCAAAAAGGAAACTTTAAAAGCATACCATAAAAGTCTATATGATACTAATGACCTGTTGGTTCGAGTAGAAAGAGTTCGGTTCCTCTTAAATAAAGTTTTGAGTTCGAGTCTTATGAATGGAGAAGTAAGTGCTGGGAGGGTCTCTTCTTAATGGGGTCTGACGCAGCTCGATTCTGAATTAGTTGGGATCCAATATGGTTACCAAATAGTGAGAGGTTAATACCAAAAAAAAAATAAAAGTCTATATGATAGGGTTTCATAGGCCTATTTATCATCATGTAAATGTTACCAAAAGCATTTGTATTGTGCTTAAGTGAATTTATTTGTTTTTGAGGGGTATAGGATGTTGTTAAATTAAGTAACTGTATCCATTATAATACTTAAGAAATAGTTCGGTATGTGAAGATATGTCTTAAACATAAAAGACTAGCTTACTCTGAATGTTTCTCTTAATTTTCTGTGATTTTGTTAATATTAGAAGATCTAATCTCTATTTATTTACAGGTTTTTGTGGCTTCCAGGTTGAATGTTCCCGGAGCATGGCAGATGCCTCAGG